AATTGAACGGATTACCATCAGAGACTAATCCATATGTATCCTTTATAAAGATAGATGAAATGTAGATGATAGTTTGTTTAATTTATAAAAAATAATACACCTTAGATTTTGATATCACACATATATACAGGGTGTCCCAAAAGTCCCGGACCGGTCGAATATTTCATAAACTATGGCGACACTTTAGAAAGAAATGTTTCAGACAAAAGTTGTATGGCTTGAAGGGGGCCATCAGATAGTGGCAATGATTTGACATGGGAGAGTCATTTAAAAATCACGTGAAGATCACCGTCAATTTCTTAAATAGAACTCTCTATTTTTTATTATATATTCGTGTAGCTTATCTCGAGAGCTTTCCAAAACACTATAATAAAGTATTTCTTCATTGAGTACTTTTCGATTTATGAGGCTTGAAATCATTTCTTAATTTTATATAAACCGTAAAATATCTTGTAAAATATTCATTTTTCGATTATCTTAATAATTTTATGTACAAAATAATGAGAGGAATCAATTGATGTAATGAAAAAATATAGTTGTTTTTAAGAAAAAAATATGTAATTTGCAATTACATATTTATATAACATTTACATATTTTTTTTAAACAACTATGTGTTTTCTTTACACCAATTGATTCCTCTCATTTTATACATAAAAGCATTAAGATAAGATAATCGAAAAATGAATATTTTACTAGATATTTTATGATTTATGCAAAATTAAGAAATGATTTCAAGCCTCATAATTCGAAAAGTACTCAATGAAGAAATACTTTATTATAGTGTTTTGGAAAGCTCTCGTGATAAGCTACACGAATAAGTAATAAAAGATAGAGGGTTCCATTTAAGAAATTGACGGTGATCTTCACGTGACTTTCAAATGACTCTCCCATGTCAAATCATTGCCACTATCTGATGGCCCCCTTCAAGCCATACAACTTTTGTCTGAAATATTTCTTTCTAAAGTGCATAGTTTATGAAATATTCGACCGGTCCGGGACTTTTGGGACACTCTGTATATAAAAAAAACACATACACGTATATAAAATTTTATATAAATTTTTATTAAATTTTATATTAATTTATTATAATTTTTTAATCCAAGAATATATTCCTTAATAATTGCATAGTTATTTAATGGAGATTTTGTAGACAGAGGCTCCTTCTCCGTAGAATGTATATTTACTCTATTCGGTTTTAAATTATTATATCCAAATCACTTTTTCATGTCAAGAGGTACGTAATCCACATTTCTCGCCATTCTGGAATTAGAGTTTACACCTAACATTTGTTTATGTTCAGGCAATCATGAATCAGCAACGATGAATCAAATGTACGGATTTGATGGCGAAGTGAAAGCTAAATACTCTACTCAAATGGCAGAATTGTTTACAGAAGTCTATAATTGGCTCCCCCTAGCACACTGCCTCAATAATAAAGTACTTGTGAGTATGATGTATCATCCAAGAGCTCGCATAATTTATATTTATACCTTGCAGAAAATATTGCATGTATCATTTTGATGAAATTATAATGGACTCATCATCGCCAGGTGATGCACGGTGGATTATTTTCACGGGACGACGTAACGTTACAAGAAATCAGGGAAATCGACAGAAATAGACAACCACCCGACGAAGGGTTGATGTGCGAATTATTGTGGTCAGATCCGCAACCGCAGAAGGGCAGGGCACCCAGCAAGAGAGGCGTAGGAGTTCAATTCGGACCTGATGTCACGCAGAACTTCCTCAGGATAAATTCTCTCGATTACATCGTGAGGAGCCACGAAGTGAAGAACGACGGTTATGAAGTTGGGCATGATGGAAAATGTATCACAGTATTCTCCGCTCCAAACTATTGGTATGCATTGTAACAATACAGTCTGTATTAGCAATCTCCTTGATAATTTAATGTTTCATTATAATTGTATGATGATGTAATTTCAATGACTCAATATTGCATTGAGTGTATGTATCTTATTTAATTATATTTTTAATGAAAAGAATTAGTTTAAAAGAAACACTAAATTGTCAATTTAATATTTTTTAATTAAATATTATTTTATACCTCATATAATAGCTATGTTATGAATATTAATTTTTATCTCGTCTTTTTTATTTTTATTTTTATTTTTTTATTTTATTTTTTATTTTTATTTTTATCTCGCCTTTTTTATTTTTATTTTTTTATATCCGCAATTAATAATCCCCAATTAAATTATTGGGGATTAATAAATTAATCTCCAATAATTTAACTTTAAAAAAATCAAATATAAAATTTTATAAATGAAACTGAATATGATAATAAACTTATTTTCAATTTTTGACCCCTCTAGAATAAAATTTTCTATAAATTGACTAGAATAAAATTTTCTATAAACTGATTAAGTATAGGATTAATTATTTTTATCTTTCCATTTCAATATTGATTAATTCCTTCACGATTTATTATAATATGAAATATTATTTTTAAATTCCTAATTAAAGAATTTAAAATTATTCTTAAATACTCTATATTAAATTTAATTATTTTTATTAGATTTTTTTTTTTATTCTTATCAATAATATCTTAGGATTATTTCCTTATATTTCAGCGATACTATGGGTAACCGAGGTGCCTTTATCACACTTAACGGCAAAGATATGAAACCATATTTTACATCGTACGAAGCAATGGTATACTTTATTCACATTATTTATTATACAGGAGGCGCCGAACGTTCCAGTCAGACTTTGAGATCTTATAGGAAATTTAATTCTGAACAAAAAGTTTCCTATAAACATAGGTCGAAAAATGCTTTCTTCAGAAGTTATCGCTCAAAAACCTCTGATGAAGGAAGAGCAAAAGGTGAAAAGAAAATGAAACTAAATAAATTTCTTGAAAAAAATGATAAAAATAAAAAATAAAAATCTTTTTCTTTTATGAAATAATTTTTTTTTTAACTAATATTTTAGTAATAGCACGTAATAGTAGACAATGAATAAAGACGTTTTTCAAGAAATTTATTTAGTTTCATTTTCTTTCTATTTGTTTATAGGAAACTTTTTGTTCAGAATTAAATTTCCTATAAGCTCTCAAAGTCTGGCTGGAACGTTCGGGGCCATCCTGTATACATTTACATTTTGTATTGTAGCTATAAAAAAAAAATCGTTTAATGTACCCTTTTCTTACAGCCTCATCCTAATGTAAGGCCGATGGCTTATGCCAATTCTTTACTAAAGTTCATGTGCTAGTGGAACAACCTCTAGGTATTATTGATAAATAAAAATAAAATAACTGAGATATAAGTAGCCCAATCAAAGTGTGCGTAATATATTTGATACCAAAATGGAGAAGGTAAGAGACAAGTTAGGTGCTTCTCCATAACAATAATTATTATATTCTTTCTAGGCAATTACAGGAGGAATTTTTCCTGTATTATAAAATAATGCAAATGAGAATGCATTATATTGATGGGTACAAAAGTGAGAAAAGTTTGCTTATTTTTAGAAACATACAGACAAATCTACTTGGCTTTTCTTATCTATGAATAATATATCGTAGATGACAAGAAAAATGATTTTATCCGTGATGAGAAAAATCGATAGCCCACTTAAACACTAGTGATTTGTGTTTGTTTGTATAAAATAACGCGAAGAGAAAACATTTCTATTTTGTACCCTCAATCGATAGGACCACCTTGCTCGTTAAAGATATCCGCGAGCACCAAATGTCAATGGAGAGCAAACAATTTTGATTCCCAGATATATATTTTCCACACACACAACACATATACAGGGTGTCCCAAAAGTTCTCGACCGGTCGAATATTTCATAAACTATGCACATTAGAAAGAAATGTTTCAGACAAAAGTTGTATGGCTTGAAGGGGGCCATCAGTTAGTGGCAATGATTTGACATGGGAGAGTCATTTGAAGGTCACGTGAAGGATACTTCAATTTTTTTAAATGGAACACCCTATTAATTTTTGCATATTCTTATAGCTCATCTCGAGATCTTTCCAAAACATTATAATAAAATATTTCTTCATTGAGTACTTTTTGAGTTATGAAGCTTGAAATCATTTCTTAATTTTGCATAAACCATAAAATATCTAGTAAAATATTCATTTTTCGATTATCTTATCTTAATGCTTTTATGTATAAAATAATGAGAGGAATCAATTGGTGTAAAGAAAACACATAGTTGTTTTAAAAAAAATATGTAATTGTTAATTGCAAATTACATATTTTTTTCTTAAAAACAACTATGTTTTTTCTTTACACTAATTGATTCCTCTCATTATTTTGTACATAAAATTATTAAGATAAATAAGGTAGATAAGATAATCGAAAAATAAATATTTTACAAAATATTTTATGGTTTATGCAAAATTAAGAAATGATTTCAAGCCTCATAACTCGAAAAGTACTCAATGAAGAAATACTTTATTATAGTGTTTTGGAAAGCTCTCGAGATAAGCTACACGAATATGTAATAAAAAATAGGGGGTTCCATTTAAGAAATTGACGATGATCTTCATGTGACCTTCAAATGACTCTCCCATGTCAAATCATTGCCACTATCTGATGGCCCCCTTCAAGCCATACAACTTTTGTCTGAAACATTTCTTTCTAAAGTGCATAGTTTATGAAATATTCGACCGGGACTTTTGGGATACTCTATATACATTTTAACTTATAATCTGTTGTTTATATGAAACACACAGACTCTTATATCGCGATACTTTTAATCGATTCTTTAATGACCAATGGTGGAATTTAAATATAATAATTATTATGAAAATATATAAATGCATATGCAAGATAGCATAATTATGTAGTACAATAATCCATCCAATCGCACAACTTGTCACGTTATTTGTGACAATTTTTTACAAATCTATCGTGATTGGATGGATTTCTTTGATCTAACATTTTGTTTTCTGTTAATAATAAATGATGTTTATAATGTACATATATAAAAATCGATATTTTACTTTATGCATTTACATATATGAGATGACGACACAATAAATTACGAGTGCATTAATCGAGGTGTGTTTATAAAAGATGAGTAATTTCTTCCGGTAAGCGGTTTCGATTTCCGTGAGACACGTTCAGAATCTTGATTCTCTCATCTGCGTGTAACTTCTCAAACAGCGTCACGTGCTCTCGCGGTACTTTGTGCATCTGCGGAATAGTTCCAATCACGAAAGCTCTCTTGGAGGACCCCAACAATATCTCCGTTACTTTCCCCTTGAAGTCTTTGCTGAATAACTCCATCTTGCCAATCTCATCAATGAATAATATATCCTGTGGAGAAAAAGGAATGCATAATTTTATGTCGTCGAATTTTGAGGAGGTGATTACCAATTAACTTTAAGAGAAATGTTACTCTTACAGTATCTGAGTCCAATACTGGAAGCGCCACCTTCTCGAAGTTATCCAGGAAAACGTGGTAATTTCCTACCTGATGTCTAGAAGCCTGTCGAGCGTCTATTAAATTCCTACGTGTGAAAGCAATAACAATATTTTCAGTTGCATGTGTATCATACGTGTATCGAGTGAGAAGACACCTACTTTAGTCGTGCCAAGGACAATCTTGTTTCGGGATCTCGTACTCGCACGATGTCAAAACCAATCCTGGAGCCGCTGTGATCTCGTACCTCCTCCGTGTAAAACCCATCAAAACTTTTGCTCTTCTTCTCCAGGATAGATAAGATCCTTTTGCACACCGTAGTTTTACCTATACCTATATATATATATAATATAAATAATTATAAATAAATATATATATATATATATATATATATATATATATATAATAATTTGTATAAATATATATAAATAATTTAATAAATAAATTTTATCATTGGAATGATTTATATATACATATATATACATAAATCTGATGAGAAAATTTATTTATTTAATTAAATTATTTATATTATGATTTATTTATTTAATTAAATTATTTATATTATGATTTATACAATATTTAAAGTCTTAGATGCGTTATATTAAGGTGCTTCTGTCCGCATAAAAAATATTTATTTATTTAGCTTTCTTGTGCGAGAGGAAAGACAATCATATAGGATACGAAGCAGTAAATTTATTGTATTATTTTTATTATCTTTTTAATAGAGTTTTATAATATTCTAGAGGAGCTTTATTATTTTTTTAAAAGAGTATTATATCTTTTATATTATTTTATTATTATGTTTCTGATAGAGTTTTATAATCTTGTAGAATTTTCTAGTCTTATAGAGTTTTATTATTTTTTTACAAAAATTTTATATCTATATTATTTTATTATTATCTTTTTAGTAGAGTTTTATAATATTTTAGTTTTATTATTTTTTTAAAAGAGTTTTATATCTTGTATATTATTTTATTATTATGTTTTTGATAGAGTTTTACAATCTTAATAGAGTTTTATAATCTTATAGAGTTTTTATTTTTTTATAAGAATTTTGTATCTATATTATTTTATTATTAATAGAATTTTATAATCTTGTAGAGTTTTATAATTTTTTTACAAGAATTTTATAATGTATTATTTTATTATTATCTTTTTAATAGAGATTTATAATCTTCTATAGGGTTTTATTATTTTTTTAAAAGAGTTTTAGATCTTGTATATTATTTTATTATTATCTTTTTAAAAGAGTTTTACAATTTTAATAGAGTTTTATAATCTTATAGTTTTATTTTTTTATAAGAATTTTATATCTATTTCTAATCTATTATTTTATTATTAATAGAGTTTTATTACTTTTTTACAAGAATTTTATAATGTTATTTTATTATCTTTTTATAGAGTTTTATTTTTTTAAAGAGTTTTATATCTTATATATTATCTTACTATTATATATATCTTTTTCATAGGATTTTATAGTAAAATCTAAATCGGAAAAATTGAGTACTCCTATATTAATATTAATAATAAATCTGAATATATATATATATATATATATATATATATATAACATACGATTAAAAATATTTCATTTTTTGAGGAGAAAAACCATTTTTCTCAAATGTTTCTCTCTCTCACGTATGACTTCAATTAAGAAAATCCAGTCTCCCTTCGAAGCTCACCTGGCGGGCCCGTAAGTAGTACGCGCATCGTCCGCGGGGCGCCACCAGTCTCCATGCCCGCGTGTTTACGTCGTGTGCGCGAGCGGAAGTACGGAAGTACGCACGAGTAATTTCTCCGAATAATAAAACTGTTATCGAGGCAACGACGACACGTCCACGTTTGCGCGAGACCTTAGACCCGATACGCACCGCCACGAGGATGCGATCGCACGCGCCGTCTGAGTCACAGCGCGCCGATTAGCCGAACGCGACCGACCGCGCGCGCGGGTTGGTGGCGTGCGGGGCGGAACGGGGCGAGGGGCGGGGCGGGCCGATCAGCTGATCGGGCTGGACGAGCAGCGACAGGACGGGGCCTGTCGGTTCGCCGATCGGATTGGATTTAGGACGGTAGTGTAGTGGTAGTAGTGACACCACGACGGTGTCGTGGCTCGAGTAGCACCGTCGAGTTCGTGTCTCCGTCGTGGTATTTTGTATACGTGCGTCGTGGCGTTCGCGTATCGGCCCGTGCCCCTGGCGTGCAGCTGCTGGAGGCTGCTGGCGGCGCTCGCCCGACAATTTTCGTGAGAAAGGAAGAAGAGGAGCCCTGTCGCGACCGGTGGACGACACTCGCTCCGAGTAAACAGCGCTCTTGAGAAAGAGAGAGAGAGAGAGAGAGAGGAGGAAGCGCGGCGCTCGTGTCTCGCCCCCGCGAAGGATAGTAAAAGGCGCACGGTTAGGATTCTCCCAACGATGCCGACGACCACCACGTCGTCCAGGAGGGACGACCGGCCGCGGACGGCCGCCGAGATGGACGAGGAGAGTCGCGTGCGGTATCGCGCCGCCAGCCTCAGGCGACGTCGCCGACGTCTGCGGCAGTCGTGCGGGGGGGGCGGGACGGCGGGGGGAGGCGGCACCGAGGCCGAGGAGGCGAATCCGTCCGAGTGCAGCGCCCTGTCGTACGTGGTCGCGCGACAGATCGACGACAGGCACGACTACTGCAGGCGTCTCGTCAACGCCAGATTCGAGAATTCCGAGAACCTCTACAGGAAGGACCTGCTCTCGCATTACGGATGCGTCAACGCGATCGAGTTCTCGAACCAGGGCGACCTCCTCGTGTCCGGTTAGGCTTCGATATTCTTCTTTTTTTTTCTTTTTTTCCGTTATTGCGCATAATTCCCCCTAGGGTTCAGATCGAGTCCCCTATATAAGTTTGATGGATGGTTCTTAGAGAGGTTATTTTTTTTTAATTCCTTGACGATTTTAATTAAGTCTCTTCTGATCTTGTGGAGCAAGGTCGGGAGAGATTGAATTAAAATCGCCAACGATCTCGCGATATCGATTGTATTTTTCTTTCCCCTTTTTTCCCCTCGTGACAGTGTTTATAGTTATAGTGTGATTTATAGAGGCCATTTTTTTAAAATTCCTTGACGATTTTAATCAAGTCTCTTCTGATCTTGTGGAGCAAGGTCGGAAGAGATTGAATTAAAATCGCCAACGATCTCGCGATATCGATTGTATTTTTCTTCCCCCTTTTTTCCCCTCGTGACAGTGTTTATAGTTATAGTGTGGTTTATAGAGGCTATTTTTTTAAAATTTCTTGACGATTTTAATCAAGTCTCTTCTGATCTTGTGGAGCAAGATCGGAAGAGATTGAATTAAAATCGCCAACGATCTCGCGATGTCGATTGTATTTTTATTCTTCCTTTTTTCCCCTCGTGACAGTGTTTATAGTATGATTTATAGAGGCTATTTTTTTTAAATTCCTTGACGATTTTAATCAAGTCTCTTCTGATCTTGTGGAGCAAGATCGGGAGAGATTGAATTAAAATTGCCAACGATCTCGCGATGTCGATTGTATTTTTCTTCCCCTTTTTTCCCCTCGTGATAGTGTTTATAGTTATAGTGTGTTTTAGAGAGGCTATTTTTTTTTAAATTCCTTGACGATTTTAATCAAGTCTCTTCTGATCTTGTGGAGCAAAGTTGGGAGAGATTGAATTAAAATCGCCAACGATCTTGCGATGTCGACTGTATTTTTCTTCTCCCTTTTTTTCCCTCATGACACAGTGCCCGTTGACTTCAAGCTGGAAGTTCAACGGAAATGTTAATGTCTTTGAGAAATAATACTTTGGTCTAAAGTTCAGTAAAAGAGAGATATACCATTAGGAAGATATTAAAAATAAATTTCGACAGAGATAAGTCATATATGATAAAGATGAATCATTGATAATAAAGGTGAATCATGTGTGTCTTGTTGTCACAGGGGGCGATGACAGAAGAGTTCTATTATGGAGAGTGGAGCAGGCGATACAGGGTATGGGCAAGCCCGTTGTAATGAAGGCCCAACACGCCAGCAATATATTTTGCCTCGGTTACGACAGCAGCAAGACCAAGATATTTTCTGCGGGGAACGACGATCAAGTCATAGTTCATAATTTGCAAACGTAAAGCAGCTTTTCTGAACAGAAGAGAAAATATCAAGCCAATATTTGCCACTTTGCGATTAACAAATGTCTCTTTGATTATTGTAGGAGCGACCCACTCAGTTACTTCCTACACGAGAAACCAGTCTACGGACTATCCATTCATCCGCACAATGATGACGTCTTTGCTAGCGCCTGCGACGACGGGAGAGTCTTGATTTACGATATACGTAGCAATAGCACCACGGAGACTCTCTGTTTGGCGCAGTACAAAAGCGCCTTTCACTCTGTCATGTTTAATCCTGTGGATTCCAGAATGCTCGCTACTGCCAATGCTAAGGAAGGTGTCAGTATGTGGGATGTACGAAAACCTTTGGAGTAAGTGAATGAAGATTTGTACAGATAAAGTTTGAACATCGCTAAAAATGTCAGAATGATGTAGCTTGCGACTTCGAGCTCGCTATTCACGTTTCTTCCATTTTACAGGCCTGTATTGTCCTATGGAAGTCCGCAGCAGAGCTGTATGAACGTCAGGTTTAATTCGGTTGGCAACCGATTGCTGGCTTTACGAAGAAGACTACCACCAGTTCTTTACGCGGTCGATTCTCCCACGTATTTGTGCGAATTCGATCATCCAGGGTATTATAATAGTTGTACCATGAAATCGTGTTGTTTCGCTGGTGAGAACGACGAGTACGTTCTATCAGGTAGGTATATTTAACACGAGAAACGTTAGCCTGTATTTATAGTTTGTTAGATGTTTATAAAATGATTTAGAGTTTTTACTTTTATATTTAACTCTAATCTATTTTTAATTATTATTATATTAATTTTCTCATTTTAATTTATATTTATATTAATATAATAATATTCTTAATGTTTTTTTTATTCTGTAAAATCTAAATTTTATAGAAATTTTATTTTATTTTATTAAATTTTATTTTATTTATATTTATTTATATTTATATTTATATTAATATAATAATACCCCTAATGTTTTTTTATTCTATGAAATCTAAATTTTATAGAAATTTTATTTTATTAAATTTTATTTTATTTATATTTATATTAATATAAATATAATAATACTCTTAATATTTTTTTATTCTATAAAATCTAAATTTTATAGAAATTTTATTTTATTTTATTTTATTAAATTTTATTTTATTTATATTTATTTATATTTATATTAATATAATAATACTCTTAATGTTTTTTCCTATAAAATCTAAATTATTTTTTATAGTTACTTATCATAAGAAAATGCTCACAATTAATGATGCGTCGAATTGATTGATAGGCTCGGACGATTTTAACTTGTACATGTGGAAAATCCCCCCTATGGACGGCAAACCGTGGGTAGAATCCGCCCACATGGTATTGCGTGGTCATAGATCGATCGTCAATCAGGTCCGCTACAATCAAGCGAGCTGCATCTTCGCGTCGTCCGGCGTCGAGAAGATCATCAAGATCTGGAGCCCCTTCCCGCTTGGAACCGGATGTTTGGGAGGTTTAAAGGTTGCCAATCGTTTATCCGATAATCCTTTATAGTTGACTTATTCTTAGGATTTTTTTCGTGATCGTTGATCATCGTGTTTTTCCAGAGAGACGCTGGCAAGCGCGAGAGACAACGCCGAGTGTTCACGCACGATGAATATATAGGGCTAGTTTTACGCAGCGGACAGTTCATGACGCACGATTATAGCCACCAATCGACTAAGGAGGACCCGCGAATGATGGCCTTCTTCGATTCCCTTGTACAGCGAGAAATTGAAGGGTGGAGCTCTGAGGACATGCCAACGCCGCACACCCCCAGCGACTCCGAGATCAACCCGGCAACAGGCGAGCCGTACAGCGCGACGGATTTCGAGGGTACAGAGAGCATAACAGAGTTTCTTAATCTCGAAAAGATCGCACGCGAAAATATAGCCATGTGTCGCGAGCGATGATGGGAAATGGACCAAGCGTTGTGTTTGCTAAAAAGAATATTTAAAAATTCTCAAACTTCACACATGATTCTATTTTGTTCTGTTTCAATAATCGTACATTTTAATATTTTCTATCGATTACTCCTCGTTTCACACGCTTGTTTTATAGCTTGACGTTCAACAAAAGTTCGACCTATGGCATCGTATACTTCATTCGACATTGTTTATATGATTTTCTTTCGGTTATTACACTGAGAAAAATTGTTTGATTGTACCAACAAGACTTGAAGGCATTTTGGTTAAATCAAACAAGAATTTCTAGTTATCATGATAAGACTCGATTTTTTATAACTAGAACATTTAATAGACTTTACTAAGGATTTGGTTAGTATTTTCTGATTGAATCTATAAAATTTCTTGTTGCATTAATTTCTTTGCTTGCCGCTAGCCGGCGAGCCACTCTTAACTTTACTCGTATTAAATATTTGCCATGAAATGTATATAAAGAACTAGTATTAACATTAAATCCAAAGTATCTTTTTTTTTCTTATGAGCAATAGTTCCAGAAAGAGGATGCTAGCTCTCTGATTGTGTTTGAGCTGCATCCTCTTCTTGCATCACTGTTTATCAGTTTAATTTCTAACAAATTGAATTTAAAATAATTTATTCAATAATCTGCATTGAATTTATCCAATAATCTTGTTGGAATTCAGAATATTATACAGATTTTTGAGATTAGATAGAACAAATTTTAGACGACTTGGTGTTGGTGAGTTTAGTATCATTAATCAGAAAATTTGGTAAATTTAACAGGAAGAAATTAATCAGATTCATCTGGTAATTCCTACAAGAATTCTGGTTCGTCCATTTTCCAACAGACATACTGCTTGAATCTACGAGAATTCTAATTAATGCAATCAGTTTTTTTTCTCAGTGCAGTTTAATTTCTAACAAACTGAACTTAAAATAATTTATTCAATAATCTGGATTGAATTTATCCAATAATCTTGTTGGAGTTCAGAATATTAAACAGACTTTTGAGATTAGGTGGGAAAAATTTTAGACGACTTGGTGCTGGTGAGTTTAGTATCATTAACCAGAATATTTGATAAATTTAACAGGAAGAAATTAATCAGATTCATCTGGTAATTCCTACAAGAATTAGATGGCAAAAATTTTAGACGACTTGGTGCTGGCGAGTTTAGTATCATTAACCAGAAAATTTGGTAAATTTAGCAGGAAGAAATTAATCAGATTCATCTGATTAAACAGACATACTAGTTGAATCTACCAGAATTCTAATTAATGCAACCAGATATTTTTCTCAGTGTACTCTTCGTTTCCCACTCTTGTTTTATAGCTTGTCGCTCAACAAAAGTTCCATCTATGGCATTGTATATTTCATTCGACATTGTTTATATATAATTTTCCTTCAGTTATTACATTTTATTATTTTTCATCCTAGATACTACAGCATCAGAAGGTGGTGTAGCTCCCGAACGGCCGTTCGAAGAATCGCCGAATCGCATAACTCGGCTTATCGCAAATCGCAGGGAGAAACTCATGCGAATGGCCGCGTTGGAGCGGCCGTCTGCCTCGGATTCCGGTAGCGAGGGGGACAATGTTCACGCGAGACGTAGGTCCAAGTCGAAATCGAAATCAAAGGGCGTCAAGAGAAAACACTCGAAATTATTCACCGACAGAAGAAGAATATCCGCCAGGAGAAAGTGTACTGTGTTAAAGGTCAATAGTGATTCGGATAGTGACGACGAGCGACCGGTCGACGCCGCTCAACCTAGCACCAGTTCCGGCGTCATCTCCCGAAGATCGCGATACGTCGCCAACGCGATTGAGAAAGATGACAAACGCTCCAATTACAGCAGCAGCAGCAGCAACAGCAGCAACAACAACAGCAGCAACAGCAACAGCAGCAGTTCCGAGGACAATAACGCTCTCGGAACGAAGCGAAAACACTCGAAGACCGACTCGGACGCGTCCACGAAGGCGCAAAGGCGCAAGCATCGCAAGTGCAAGAACAGCTCTCGTCATGAGAACTGTTCCGGTAAGACCCAATGCAAACGGCAGAAGCTCGACGACGAGTCGGAGACGGAGAGGACCGCTTCCGGCTCCAAGAATCATCCCAATCGGGTGAACGGTAGCGCCGGGAAGGACGGGCCGTCGACGCCGAATCACAAATCGCCTCAAGTTCCTTGCACCCCCGACAGCGGCATTAAATCAGGCGTTTCGACCACGGGGGGCAAGAACAGCGAGCAAACGCGTACCACTGAGGAAAACGATGAGGGTGCGGACGATACGGGTTCCGATCACGAGCAAAAACTGAAAACTCTAGAGTGTTTCCGAAAGAAGGTGGAGGAACTGACGAGGAGAAGCTACCGTAATCGGTCCCACCAGCCCCAAACGGTAGCCACGACCACGAGCGATTCTTCCGATTAAACCGCTCTCGTTTTCGCTCCTCCTTCCCTCCCCCTCTCCCCCCTCCTCTTTCTCCATTTGTACATAATATAATCTGTGATTCCTTGAAGTATATTTTTATAACACTAAGTTGATCGCACGCGAATACGCGATCAATTCCCTTTTTTTTTTTTTTTTGATTTGATTCCGAATCCCCTCTATCGTCCGTATCTTTTAATCCCATCCGCGTCGTGAATGCACGATAATTCCTCGTCTCATGATCGGAGGAGACGTTTGGCTTCGCAACATTTTTACGATGATGAATCAAGTTTTGCGCTTTACACGATTGTCCTAAAGTGGCCGATTACGCAGGCCTGCGTAAATTGGAGCTTTCGTGAAGTTAGGAAAAGCAGAATAGGATAAGAATACGATTTGTTTTCCCCGTAATAAATTCGTGAAATTGGCCGAAATAGCGATATTTGAGCTGTTCACTTAGAAATTACCTCGAAAACCTAACGTGCCTACTCTGCTTCTTGTAATTGAACCTCGCGGGGCCTGTGTTATTTTTAGCTTGGGAACTGATAATCGCCCTCTGGTATTCTCTCATTCCTAGATGATTTTGTCCTCGAGAGACGCCGGAGAATTTTCGCAAGATAAACAATTTTATACGGAATATCTAAAAACTTTTCGCAGTCCCGAAGTGTGAAGGTAAATCGGCTCGAATTAAGAAGAAAAGTCCTCTACCGTTTTGCGATATTCGGAATAATTAACGAGAAATTAATTAAAGAAGATCGGCCAATGCGCGTGGCTAGAAGCGGCGGCGAAGGCGGTCTCACTGTAAAGACGGCGCCGCGCACTTTAATTAATTTCTCATTAATTATTGCGAATATCGCAAAACGATAGAGGACTTTCCTTCTTAATTCGAGCCAATCTACCTTCACACTTCGGGTCTGCAAAAAGTTTTCAGACACCCTGTAAATTCTAAACTATCCTACTCTATTCGATGTCAGATGGCATGAGACGAGGAAATACTGTATTTTCCCCTCCAAATTTTCATTAACAATACGTCTTAAATACTATCGATTATTTGCGATGATGCGTTCCGACGTGTTCACGAATCAAGTCACTGGTAGGCAAACGAAATTACACCGTTTGATACCGCTCCCCGTATCTCTCCTCTCGCGTAATGCCATCGCGACTTGATCCAAGTATCTAGAAACCGGTCGCCGATTATTGCGTGAAACATTTTTCGCGGATCTGGCGACGTAATAAATTGCATGTAATCAAGGCAGAACTATAGATGCGAATTAACACACACACACACACACACACATCCGCATTAGCTTTAAGAGCATCTTGCGATGACTTGGCTGATGATATATTGTACTGTTGACATGGTTTGTGCGATGGAAAGTAATTAAAAAAAAAAGTAATAAATTGATATACATTTTTTTCCTATGCGTTGAGAGATTTGAAGGAAAAAGAAAAAAGAGGAATTATTATAACTGTATATTACATTATTTAATCATGCGCATTTATATACATCTTTATTAACTGATGACGAATAAACGAGAAGAGAAAAAGAAACAGCGGCGTCTGCGTCAACGATTTATTATATTACTCTGTAATTATTCTGCGTTCAAGAACGAAGGTCCCTTGCGTTTTCCACGAGCGTTTTACACGAATAAACGTTGACTAACGTAAGTGATGTCATACTGCGGTATTCAAGCACCACATCCGGCGACGAAACAAATCAGTCACTTGGCAGTTTTCTTGCAGATCACCTTGTGAGACCTGAAGACCTTCCTAGAAAAAATGCTACGCGCCAGTTTCATCCTCGTTTTGACGATCGTGCAACGCAGGCCGATGGCATACAACATCGACGTGCTCAATGCCAAGGTGTATGATGATCCTGCACGTGTGTCAGGTGGGCGTCGCAGCTACTTTGGATTTTCGGTGGCTCTTTACACCAGCCCAAGAGAGTCCTTGCTGCTCGTTGGAGCCCCCCGAGCCAACTCCAGCGGGTTGCCGCTGGTGACCGAGCCAGGAATAGTCTTCAAGTGCTCGATGAACGGCGTGTGTGAGGAGTGGGCGATCGATAAGACCGGGAACGGTCCGCGTCCTCGAGAGAGACTGGTCCATCAGCTGAAAGACAACGCTTGGATCGGCGCGACTGTCGTCGTAGAAAACAGGACCGAGCCGAGAGTTGTGGTATTTCTCATCTTTTCGCAATAATAATAGAAGAAATTTATTCAAAACTGGCGAGCGAGAGCCAGGAAAGCGCAAGGAAGAATAAGACACCCTCCTTCTTCCCTCGGTCATTGGTATATTTCAGATTTTTCTTTACAATACATGTATTAAAAAACAGGATCATGTTTCAGATCATCGATTATGTTAATATTATGCGTTGAAAAATATTAAACAATGGCGTATATTTTTTTAAATAAAATTCTGTGCACAGATACTTGATCGTATATTTTAATTTTGACTTTTTGTCAAAATTAAAATATTTGACAATTTTTTTTTTCAATATTAATATTTCAATATTAATAATTTTTCAATATTAATTATCAATATTATGCGTTAAAAATATTAAATAATGACGTATATTTTAATTTTGACTTTGCAATTTTTTTTCAATATTAATATTTCAATATTAATAATCAAATTTTTCAATATTAATAATCAATATTTCTTTCAATATCAGTAGCTACGAATATTTCAAGGCTATCGCATTGCACATTTTCCTGAGAATTGAATTTTTTTAAATAAAATTCTGTGCACAGATACTTGATCGTTTAAGAATATTTGAATTAAATATTGAACAATTTATCTCTCGTGTGCGATTAATTAAATCATCGAAATTTAAATAAATAATAAGAATATTTTATTATCGTGCTAAGCAGTTTTTGATGGAATATTTATTAATTAATGTTATGTAAATATTTAACATTGAACATTCGATTACAAGATACTTAAAAATTCAAAATTTTCTTCAGATTTTTCTTTACAATACATGTATTAAAAAACAGGATCATGTTTCAGATCATCTGTTATGTTAATATTATGCATTGAAAAATATTAAACAATGGCGTATATATTTTAATTTTGACTTTTTGTCAAAATTAAAATATTTGACAATTTTTTTTCAATACTAATATTTCAATATTAATAATCAAATTTTTCAATATTAATTATCAATATTATGCGTTGAAAAATATTAAATAATGACGTATATTTTAATTTTGACTTTTTGTCAAAATTAAAATATTTGACAATTTTTTTTTTTCAATATTAATATTTCAATATTAATAATCAAATTTTTCAATATTAATAATCAATATTTCTTTCAATATTAGTAGCTACGAATATTTCAAGGCTATCGCGTTGCAAATTTTCTTGAGAATTGGATTTTTTTAAATTTGAATTAAATATTGAACAATTAATCTGTCGTGTGCGATTAATTAAGTCATCGAGATTTAAATAAATAATAAGAATATTTTATTATCGTGCTAAGCAATTTTTGATGGAATATTTATTAATTAATGTTATGTAAATATTTAACATCAAACATTCGATTACAAGATAATATTTAAAAATTCAAAATTTTCTTCAGATTTCTTTTTACAATACATGTATTACAAAATAGGATCATGTTTCAGATCATCTGTTATGTCAATATTATACGTTGAAAAATATTAAACAATGACGAATATTTTAATTTTGACTTGCAATTTTTTTTCAATATAATAATAATATATTAATAATCAATATTTCTTTCAATATCTGTAGCTACGAATATTTCAAGGCTATCACGTTGCAAATTTTCTTGAGAATTGAATTTTTTTAAATAAAATTCTGTGCACAGATACTTGATCGTTTAAGAATATTTGAATTAAATATTGAATAATTAATGTCTCGTGTGCGATTAATTAAATCGTCGAGATTTAAATAAATAATAAGAATATTTTATTATCGTGCTAAGCAGTTTTTGATGGAATATTTATTAATTAGTGTTATGTAAATATTTAATATCGAACATTCGATTACAAGATAATACTTAAAAATTCAAAATTTCTTATCAAATTTAAAAATAAAAATGACAACTGTTCACTTATCTTTTTGTAAAGATGATCGATTTCAACTTCGTCAGAATACAATCTATGAACGAAGAAAAATATGCGATAATTTTAAAACTACGTGTAATTATCACTGAAACGTATGATTATTTTGATGACCTCTCTGAATCAAGTTTCCAAAATTTAAAAATATAAATAAAATTTAAATAAAATATAAATAAAATTTAAAAATATAAATAACAAGAAGAACTCTTCACTAAAGAATATTAATTAATTGTTAATAAAATATTAATAGAAGAATATTAATTAATTGTTAAATGTTTAATATAAAAAAATCGAATATCCAGGAAAAATTATAAGACTTTTAATCTCTTTAAAAATTGAAAATTATAAAAAAGATAACAATAGCTTCTTATTTTTGTTTTTCTCTCTCTTTCTTTTCTATAATTTAATAAATTTCATTTTTAATTTTTTCGTTTGATTTTTTTAAATTTTTGATTTTTAATTTTATTTTTAATTTTCGTCGAAGGTTTGTGGACCGCGATGGATAAACAATATCGTGAACGGCAACAGACCCAACTGGCTCATGAACGGTATTTGTTATACGACACGAATCACCGATGCTGATGTATTCGAGAGAGAAGCGGAGGAGTTATTACTACCACTCTCGAATCCTGAAGGTCAGACTACGTCGAAAAACAACATAGGCATCTACAACTACGGGATGGGCCAGATTGGCTTTTCCTTGCACGTGAACTCCCTGGGAGACGATGCGAGGGTCACGTTCGGTGCCCCAGGCGTGTACAATTGGAAAGGCGATGCGATATTAATTACTACCTCGTTAGACGGGTCATTCTCGCGTACGATAATTCCCTCGCTCGCTAGAGAGCAACAGGTTCACAGTTACAATTATTTCGGTAAAAATGTATTTCTTTTATCATCATTTTTTCCTTCTCTCTTTTCAAGCTAGCAATGACCAAATCAGTTTTGCTGATCAAGAATTTGTTATTTTATTAATTTATTTAATATTTATTTTATTTTATTTTAATTTATTAATTTATTATATTTTATTAATTAATTTATTTTATTTTATTTTAATTTATTTTGGTAATTAATGATAAAGTTTATTACTTATTTTATTAATTTAATAAAAATTTAGAAGCGCGTGTATCATTTGAAATTTATTTTAAACTAATAATTAATTTTAAGTTTATAAATATCTTTTTCTTTTAATATATCAAATTTAATTTTCTTTACATGTGCATTTTCCGAAAAGAAATATATTTCAAATACTATCTCTCTGTTTCTTTTTCTAAAACATTTTTTAAATCGTTGAAATTTTTAATATATAAAAAGCTATAAACATTAATCTTTATTCTTATTGTAAAGAGAATATTTTATTAAAAAAACTGAAGACTCAGCCTTTTTTCCCAGCAAACACCAAATAACAGCTATACAGGGTGTCCCATTTTAATGTCCCCCAAATAACTTTCTTATTTTTAATTTTAGAAAAAGATGTTTCAGACAAAAGTTGTATGGTTTCAAGGGGGACATAAGGTGATGTCATTAGTTTGACCTTGAAGAGTCACATGAAGGTTACGTGAAGGTCATTTTGAATTTCTTAAATGGAATACCCTATTTATTTTTGCATATTCTTGTAGCTTATCTCGAGAGCTTTCCAAAACATTATAAATAAACATTTTTTCATCAAGTACTTTTCGAGTTATGAGGCTTGAAATCATTTCTTAATTTTACATAAACCATAAAATATCTTGTAAAATATTCATTTTTCAATTATCTTACCTTAATACTTTTATGTACAAAATAATGAGAGGAATCAATTGGTGTAAAGAAAACATACAGTTGTTTTTAAGAAAAAATATGGAATTGTTAATTGCAAATTACATATTTTTTCTTAAAAACAACAGTATGTTTTCTTTACACCAATTGATTTCTCTCATTATTTTATATATAAAATTAGGGTAAGATAATCGAAAAATGAATATTTTACAAGATATTTTATGGTTTATGTAAAATTAAGAAATGATTTCAAGCTATTAGCTAATAAGTTATTTGGGGTGGGAGATTAAAATGGCACACCCTGTAAATGTTACTTAATAAAGGATTAAAGTGTGATAAATATATGAGGAAAAAAATTGACAGCTCTTGATTTTAATCGAAATTTCGACTGTTTATTTACAAAGAGATGTCATTTTAGAGACCAAACTCTAGAAGAATTTACAAAATCCTGTAACATATGTACACGGTGTGTTTCAGGATACGCTGTAACAGCTGGGACTTACTTCAACGAGCAAGACACGTGGTACGCCAGCAGCGCGCCGAAAAGCGCCAACATGTACGGGAAGATTCTCGTATTTGCCTTTCCCCCGAAAACTAATCAGCGCATGTTTATCAAAATGGTGATACACGGTCAGCGATACGGCGAGTTTTTTGGCGCCGCGTTAACGTCTTGCGACGTTAATAACGATCGCCGACACGAATTAATCGTCGGCGCGCCACAATGGTCCAAGGACATGGACGAAGGCCTCGTCTACATCTTTACGGGGCAACGAAATGTACTAATTTATAAATACACGGTAGCATGGATATCTATTGGGAATCAAAGTTCAAGATTTAATCTTTCTATAATATTGTTGAATCTCTCGGGTAAAAAATCTTGAATAACAAGCAATTAAAATTAATGTAACAATAAGAACGTGTCGAATTTCTGAGCTTGATGTTTTTAAAATCCTTTTTATTTTTAACGAGAAATAATAAACTTATAAAAATTCTTATTATTTAATATTTATGAAAATTCTTAATATTTAATAAGTTAAAATCTTTATTAATTTAATTTAAATAATTTATTTAAATTCTTTAATATATTGATATTTATGTATATAAAATCTTTAATTATTAATTAATATTAATAGTTAATGACAAATATAAGTAAAATCTTAAGTGCCTGAAAGCAATAAAAATACAAGGAAATAATCCTGTAAAATTATTTATAATAATTAATAAAAATAATTATGTTTGAATAAAAAAGGAATAGTTCCAAATAATCTTAACTTCTTAAAAATCAAAAATTATTAATGAATCTTCAAATTATTAAGACTCGAGATCATTCAATAAAAAAAGAGATAAAGAAATTATTAAGGAAAGATTAAGAAAAAAATTAAAGTGATATTTTATAAATTTTAATATTAAATATTAAGATGTTCCTAGAAATTTTCCGTAATTTTCTTGAAATAAAAAAATAAATAATAAATAAATATATATTAATCTATTTATTTTTCTATTTCAAATAATTTCTCGATAGATGCGAAACCACGTTTTTATACAATAAGAAAAATTCAAAAAATCATTGAAAAATGATATATCTTCTTACATGGAAAACTTAGAACAATTTCGAAGAGCTGCAGACGATCGAGGGCGAGGTTGTCGGCGGTAGATTCGGGTCGGCCGTGGCGTGTCTGGGCGACATCGACTACGATGGCTACGGGGACATCGCCGTGGGTGCGCCCTACGAGGACGAGAGCGGCGGCGCGGTGTACGTGTTCAACGGGAACAGGGACGGCGTCTCCCGCAGGTACAGCCAGAGACTGATCGGCACGCGATTCTCACCGACGATGCGAGGATTCGGTATCTCCATCTCGGAACCCCGAGACGTCGACCGGGACAACTATTCCGACGTCGCCGTGGGCGCTTATCTATCCGGTGAGGTGGTCCTGCTGAGATCTGCGCCGGTCGTGACTGTGAACGTGACGTTGACGTATCCGCAGGTCAGGTTGCTGCGGAACTCAACGTCCTTCCTCATCGACATCTGGATGTCCTACGAGGGCGCATACGTACCTCAGTATCTGCGTAATTTTATATTTTATACGTCACACTTTTTATACACATTATATATTTATTTGTTATGTTTATAATTTATTTATTTATCATTTATTTATTTCTATTATTATTACTTATTTTTATTATTCATTATTTATTTATTTATTTTTATTATTTTATATTTATTTTTATTATTATATTATTTTTTATTTATTTTATTATATTTATTATTATTTTATTATTTTATACTTATTTTTTTATTATTTATTATTATATTATTTTTTATTTATTTTATTATATTTATTATTATTTTATTATTTTATACTTATTTTTATTATTATTTATTATTACATTGTTTTTTTATTTATTTTATTATATAGGGTATCCGATAATTTTCTACACACCCAAAGAGTGCGGGTTAAACTGAACAAAAAAGTCTTCTGTCGTTTTGTGATCTTTGCGGTAATTAATGAGAAATTAATTAATAATGAAAGAAAGCTTTTCTCTTCAGGACTCTTCTACTTTTAACTCGTCAAAAATTATCCGACACCCCATTTATTTGTTATATTTATCATTTATTTATTTCTATTATTATTACTTATTTTTATTATTCATTATTTATTTATTTATTATATTTATTATTATTTTATTATTTTATACTTATTTTTATTATTATTTATTATTACATATATTGTTTTTATTACATATATTATTTATTATTACATATATTATTTATTATTACATATATTATTTATTATTACATATATTATTACATATTTGTTATTATTACATATATTATTTATTATTACATATATTGTTTTTTTTATTTATTTTATTATATAGGGTGTCCGATAATTTTCTACACACCCAAAGAGTGCGGGTTAAACTGAATAGAAAAGTCTTTTGCCGTTTTGTGATCTTTGCAGTAATTAATGAGAAATTAATTAATAATGAAAGAAGGCTTTTCTCTTCAGGACTCTTTTACTTTTAACTCGTCAAAACTTATCCGACACCCTGTATGTATTATTTACATATGAACTTTGTTGCTACTTGATTATTTTCAACATTTTAAGTGTAACATTTCAACTTGGAACTGCTGTCGTTCCAGGATCTATCGCGATTCTGAAGGTTGATCAATTGCACGGCAGAGCTACGTATCGCGCGCAAAGAAGTAACGACGGCTCGCAGACCTACAAGCTGCCTTACACCCTATCTAAGTCTACGGTCGCGCATAATTCACTCGAGATACATCTCACGGTGCGTCACGTCGATATTAATCATTGTTTTCATTCTATCAAAGGGCTCACGCTCCCGTCTATTTCAGGAGAACATCGGAAACATCATAGACCCGCTCGAAATATCGGTGTCCATGCAGCTGGAGGACGACCTCGACGCCAGAAACGGAAGCTCCTCGTCTTGCGTAGCCTGCGTCGTGATAAACAAGCATCGCTCGAAGATGGAAGATCTGGTGAAGCTCCCGTTCGCGGTGGACTGCGGCGAGGACAACGTATGCGTCTCCGATCTCCGGGTCGCGTTGTCGATCGACTCGACTCGGGGCGACAGGTACACCATCGGTTCCGCGCCGACAATCACCCTGCGCGTCGACGCTTACAATCACGGGGAACCAGCGTACCAGACGAGGGTACGCGTCTTCACCGAGACCCTGCCATTGGCGAGCGTCCCGCCCGAGTGCACGGAAAACCCTGGCGACGTCCTGGAGGTGACCTGCGACATCGGCAATCCCCTGAGAACGAATGTATGACGATGCGTCGGCTCGTTCGATGAACAAAAGGCGGATATAATGGTGTATTTATTTTTTAGAAAACACTGACGCTGCAGCTGGACACGAGTGCGATAAGATACGACGTTGGACAAGTGGAATTGTGGGCAAATATAAGCACTCAGAGCGACGAGGCGAATTGGGATGACAATAGTCATGCCATCACTGTGTACTTCGACGTGGACGTTGATATAGCCATCGCCGGGTTGGTACCTGTCCATGGAAATTGCAAGATTTTGCGTGAAAAGACCTTAAACCTTACACATTTATAATAATAATTTATAATAATAGTATTATAATAATTATACTAAATAATATAATAATTAATATAATAATATATAATATAAATAATAATTAATATAATAATAAATATACATAATTAATATAATAATAATATACATAATAATTAATATAATATAATAAATAATATAATAATAAATATAATAATAATTTGTAATAATAATATAATAATAATTTATATGAAAATAATAAGAATTTTATAAAATTTTATAAAATTTATAATATAATAAATATATTATTTAATAAAATATACAGGATGTTAAAAAAGTTTGGAAACGATCAAATATTTCCAAAAATAGTGATCCTGTGGGGAAATGTTTCAGACAAAAGTTGTAGGGTTTTAAGTGACGCATTACACAGTAATATTACTATGACTTTGAAGAGTGTTGTTAAGGTCACGTCAAGATCACCTTCAATTTCTTAAACAGAACTCCCTATTTTTATTACATATTCTTATAGCTTATCTCGAGAGCTTTCCAAAACATTATAATTAAGTTAGTTTTCATTAAAGTACTTTCCGAATTGTGAGGCTTCAAATCATTTCTTAATTTTACATAAACCGTAAAATATCTTGTAAAATATTCATTTTTTGATGATTGAAGAAAAAATATGTAATTTACAATTAACAATTACATATTTTTTCTTAAAAATAACTGTGTTTTCTTTACACCAATTGATTCCTCCCATTATTTTGTACATAAAAGTATTAAGGTAAAATCATTAAAAGGTAAGATCATCAAAAAATGAATATTTTTCTAGATATTTTATGGTTTATGTAAAATTAAGAAATGATTTCAAGTCTGACAACTCGGAAAGTACTCAATGAAAAAATACTTTATTATAGTGTTTTGAAAAGCTCTCGAGGTAAGTTACAAGAATATATAATTAAAAATAGGGGGTTCCATTTAAGAAATTTAAGATGACCTTTACGTGACCTTAACAACACTCTTCAAGGTCATAGTAATATTACTGTGTGCTGCGTCACTTAAAATCTTACAACTTTTGTCTGAAACATTTTCCCACAGGACCACTATTTTCGGAGATATTTGACCGTTTCCAGACTTTTCTAACATCCTGTATATAAATACAATAATTTATGAAACATATTTTTATCACAGGAAGGCACAGGAGAACCTGTACTCGTATTTACGCAACGAGGAAAACGGGATGAGACTAAATAGCGTCAGATTCCAACACTTCTACGAGGTCCAAAAATTCGGCGCAAGTCCTATCGAGGAGGCGGTGTTGACCGTGAAAATTCCGACCCATATTCGACAATCCCATGATGCTGCAGATGTAGCAATCGTCAGTATTAACGACACTACTGGCAGAATGGATGCGTATCAATTTTACTGCAGCGACTCGAACGAAACGGATGATGGGCTCTCCATCGCGTCTAAACAAATGGCGGATAACGTGATCCTGCTGAGTCCTGAAAATAAAACGTACGCGAGGTTCAGTATTGAGGAAGACACCCCGATGAATCTACCATCTGAGAATAGAACGCTTTACATCAATTGCACAAATGACGCGGTTGAATGCGCGAAGATTGACTGCAGATTGGGACCTTTTCTAAGTTCCTTGTCCGTTGCGAAGTTCTTGATAACGCTAGATCTCCAACTGTCGAATTTTCCCGGTAAATATAATCACGTGGCTGATAAATGAAGGAGAGCTCATATTCTTTGAATGCTATCTGCTTGCAGCTGACCTGATGAAGAACAAAGATATCGTATTTTACGTAACTGAAGGTAGCGTTACGATAACCGGACCTCATCTCAATATCACCCAAAGAGAAGGACATAAACCGGATACCGTTCTGGTTGCCACGACGTTCTTAGGCTCGCCGGTTGCTCAGCGAATAGCCGTGTGGATAATAGCGCTTTCAGTGATCCTAGGGATTGCATTGCTGATATTGTTGATTCTGGGTCTAATAAAGATTGGCTTCTTTAACAGAAGGAAGAAGATGGAACTCGAAGCGCTGAAAGCCGAGACTGACGTATGTTTAGCATTTTCGGAATGTAAATAAAAATTCTCGTTGTAATTCTAGGGGACCGGTATCCAATACTATATTGAAGTAATAATTTGCATTTTAGAAAAAGTATAACGTGGTCCTGGAGACGACATCTTCGACGGAAGTTCTTGATCATGACTGAGAGAATACATATAATTAATATATTCTTAATATATTTTAATATATTTTAATATATTTTATTATATATTATATATATATATAGGGTGTCCCATTTTAATACATCCAGTCGAATATCTCGAAAACCAAGCCCGGGAGAGAAAAATGTTTCAGACAAAAGTTGTTTGGTTTCGAGGGAGGCCATAAGATGGTACCATTGGTTTGACCTTGAAGAGTCATTTGAAGGTGACGTAAAGGTCACTTTCAATTTCTTAAATGGAACTCCCTATTTTTTATTACATATTCGTGTAGCTTATCTCGAGAGCTTTCCAAAACACTATAAATAAGTATTTCTTCATCGAATACTTTTCGAGTTATGAGACTTGAAATAATTTCTTAATTTTACATAACTATAAACTATAAAATATATAATAAAATATTCATTTTTCAATTATCTTACCTTAATATTTTTATGTACAAAATAATGAGAGGAATCAATTGGTGTAAAGAAAAGATACAGTTGTTTTTTAAAAAAATATGGAATTTGCAATTAACAATTGCAATTAACAATGACTCTTCAAGGTCAAACCAATGGTATCATCTTATGGCCCCCTCGAAACCAAACAACTTTTGTCTGAAACATTTTTCTCTCCCGGCTTAGTTTTCGAAATATTCGACTGGATGGATTAAAATGAGCCACCCTGTATATATTATATAAATATATTTATATAATATATATTATATAAATATTATATAAATATATTTATATAATATATATATTTAATAATATTAATATAAAATAATATTATAAAATAAATAATAAAATATATTAAAATATATAATAAAATATATTATATATATATATATATATATATATATATATATATATTTTATTATTATTATATATTTTAATATATTTTATTATATTTTATTATTCTTAATATATTTTAATATATATTCTTAATATATTTTAATTTCTCGCGCGTGATGTGTATGTATATTTTTTATATAAATAATAAATAACAAAATTGTTATATAATTCAAAATCGTTACAATTGTTATATAATATAATAATTTCATTCAAAATTGTTATATAATTATGTGATGTAAAATAATTTATAAAATTCAAATACACACATAAAGCTCATGTTATACATGTATATATACATATATATATTTTTAAGATTTTATAAAATAATGCGCTTATTATTTCATATAAAAAAAATTATAATTTAAATTTAATTATATTGTTTTATAATAAAATTTTTAAAAAATATTAATTCTCTTGTATTATTTCATATAACTGTCGAGCAAAGCTGTTTCATGAAAGATTTGTAAAAAAACTTATTTGACTTTTATCTTGATTCTTATCTGAAATGTACAATAACCATTATTCTTAAATCTTTAAAAATAATTTCTAGAAGCTTAAAATGCTATTTAATCATTCACATGAAATTGATTTATACAAGATCCATGTATTAACTTGTGTATTTTATGCAGTACATACATATATACATTTTATTGATGAAAATAAGAATCTGTGAATTAAAGAAGCAAATCTCGTGAAATAAAAAAATTCTATTTCAAAAAAATAAATGAATCTAACTGTATGGGAAGCACAATTTTAATCCGTTCAGTGCTATTAAATGTGTTGGAGTAAGAAAATATGTATATATAAAATCTAGGTAGAGTTTAGAGTTAATCATCTGGAAAGTGAAAGGTCCTATATATTCTATATTTGTATCTATGTATATCTGTATCTATGTTTACTGTATATTATACAATGAATAATGAGAATAATTATGACAAAGGTAATTAATGGCATATCATTTATTCACAGATAATATTGCATAGCATTTGTACTCTATAGTATGTTATATAATTATATATTATTATTATTATTATTATTATTATTATTATACATTATTAATATTATTATATATATTATATATATTATTTTAAAAAATAATTTTGCTTCAACTAATTAGATAGGGACTATCAAGAGCACCAACACCTGCCACTATGCCACCTTCGTCTTCACTCGACGCTTTGGTCCTTAAAATATGTCCAACTTGTTTATTTACTATTATATTATTGCTATCCCTAAAAAATATTATTTACATCTATTAATATTATTTAACAGCAAATAATTATTTTAAATACGAGATATCTGGCTTACACTTACCCAATTATCACTCCATATACACCAAGTTCTGTTATAACTTCCAATAAATCAAAGTTATCCTCTAATGATGGGTCTTCAACAGCACGTATCAGATAGTTTTTCTGTAAAGGGGGATAAATACGATCCATAAGAATCCATGCTGTCCTCTCCTGAGAGTCCCTCATCGAACTCAACCACGTTTTTATGTTTTCGTTATATATATTATTTCCTCCTCCTTCCCTTTGTGGTTTGAGAACAAATTTGTTTGGCTTACTTATACCCATTTCTATTGCTTTCTCTCCATCCTCATTCTGTTATTGAAACAAATATACTTAGATGTATCATTCAAGGGGATATTTAAATGAGAAAATGTTTTAAAAATTGTGTCTTCCATCTAAACATTAAACAATTAAATGCTCTGATTAATAACAGATTACTTACAAAGTCTAATGTGTATAATCCAGTAAATATTTCTTGCACTCTTGCAACAGATGTTTCATCCTTTAGAAATTTTTTCAATACACTAGACTGAGCCAAAGATTGTTGTACCTAAAAATGAAATTTGATTTTTAAACATTTTGGTTTAATAAGTATTACTTAAAACTCTTATTTCAGCTTAATAAATATAAAAATTAATTCTTGTTGTTCAGGTATACATTTAATACTTAATATAACTTAATATTCTTTGATATATATCATTTGATATAATTATGTAAATAAGAAGTTTTACATATATGCTCTTTCTTATGCAAATAATAAAATAAAATACATACTTTTTTAGTGCCTGCCAAGTGATATTGCACTGATGGACATTTTATTGCTCGAGAACGTTCAATTAGCAATCTAATATCCCATTCCTTTTCTGTAGGATAAGCTTCGAGTTCGTAACCGGATCGATAATAAACTACAGCCACTATCATATTTGCACTAAAATAATTCAATAACTCAAGTTTGCAGTATTTTAAATATATATATTTATATTTGAATTTGATTGTCATTACTTTGAAAATATTTCCTTTTTTTTT